ACCAGAAACGGGGCGGGGTTTCGGACCATTTCACCAACCACCCCGGAAAAAAAACAAGAAAGGGGGGGGGGGGGGGGGGGGGCGTTTGTTGCTCGCCTCAAGCATGTCGGCCATTGATGACGCGCCGCACCCCGGGGCGATCTGTCAACGTTTGGGTGCTCCAAAACGCGTTGTAGAGTGCGCTCCAAAACGTGTGGTAGAGTTGTCTCATACCCCACCCCCTTCTTTCTTGGCGTTATAGCGCCACGTGTCAACTCCCAGCTTAGGCGCAACTATCGACCGTATTGCCTCATAGGATCTGCGAGGTGCTCATGACTACCTACAATGTAGGCAGACGTGATCGTTCGACCTTACACCTGCGGGGGAGGGGGGGGGGGGGGGGGACTCACCAGCGAGGACGGGGAAACTAGCACGGGATATTGCGCCGGCCGACCCGAACCAGCCCATCAGTGTTCCCTGGGGTTGGGTTCCCACCATTTTCGAGAACAATGCCAGAACCTGCGAAACGATGCGGCACAGCCGATGTGGGTGGTTTCTTAAACCTTTGGGGGGTGGGGGTGCATGTCGAAAAGGGGGACCGCTTGATGGCGACCCTAACATGCCCAGCGACGTACTGCACGAACTAACACGGGTTGGGGAGAAAATGACAACCGACGTAGAGCAGTGCGGTAACGTTGCGAGCCCCGCGCCGCCGGTGTCGCCCTCTTTCGAGTACGCGAGGTTGATGCCGTTCTTGTGTTCACCTTTGAAACCGTGATGCACAACTTCCTTCCTTCCCTCCGTTCAAAGGCGTCGAAACAAATTCCGTGGCCACGTTGTGGGCTCAAGGTATTTTAGTCAATAGGGAAAGCTGCCCCACCGCTCTCGGTACGTCATAATATTGCACCGCCTGAATCAACCGACATGTTCATGGGTTCGAGAGCCTACAGCAGTGCAATTAAACTTCCAGCAGGAAGAGAACAGGAACGCACCGCACAAATGGCTTCGGGCTCAAGGAGCACTTACACCGTGCGTGCTCCGACAAGAACATGAAACGGAGAGTCAGGGCGATTCGTGGCTTGCCCAATACAAACGGACGTAAATCTAGCCAAGGATAGACATAGACTGGGAGACCCCACCGCGCCGTTGAACGAAGAGAAAAGAAGATAAAAACTCACCGCCGTGTGGCCGATAGGATATCCGATGGAGTATACCAAGAACACCGCCGCGATGAACACGTGCAAGCCGATGAACGTGGGGGGCAAGGCCAGCATGGCGCACGTCACGATCATGAGCGACACCCCTCCCAGGACCAGCTGGATGTCGTTGAAGTGCTTGCACAGGAGCCGCATCGACAGGAGGGTGACCACGCCGATCGCTCCGCAGGCCGCGAAAATGGAGCCGGCCTGAAATAAATGGAGTTTCGTAGAATAAATGTTCGGCATGTTTTACTCGCGAATTAGGCGGGTGACCAGACGTTGGTACCCTAGCAGCCGATCCATGTAGAGATATATAAGATATAAGATAAACTTCCATTAGTTTCGTCATCAGTCGTATTGACGCACACGGAGCACGAGCAGAGGTGAACCACGAGACCCCAAGGCACAGGGGACTCCATAACTCCCAAACCATCGATCACACCATACGAGGGTTCGTGTATCATACCGACCGCCCTTGTACACCAAACAGGGAGAGGATAAAACGTACTGTTGTTGGGGAATTGCATCCTTGTAAAGGTTACGTTTACTAGCGTGAGCGCGTGCGATTTCGCTTGGCTTGCTATCGTCAACAGAGCGGGGAGGGTATTGCGCATCTCTTCGAGCAGCAACATCCCCCCCAAAACGTCTCGTTTTCCCGATCAGTATCCCCTTCTCTGTCTCCCTGTGCCACCTCTGCGTTGGTGAGCGAAAATGTTGTGATCGCGTACGCCGCGCCGATGGTCTCGAAGCACGAGATGGTGCCCTTGGTGCTGACGTTGAGGAGGAAACCGCCGTAGATATGCATGTCTCCCCTGCTCGGAAGGCGGAGCCGGAGCTTCCGCGCGAGCCAACCCCCTTCCCCCAGCGTCGACGTCTCCCTTCCCACCACATCCCCGTGTTTCGCCTCATGTTGAACTGAATCATGGAACGTCACTTCCACTCCCGCTCTGTTCCCCGCCGACCCTAACCCCGTCTGATACCCGCCTTCCACATGTCCCATTCCCTTGTCGTCGTCGCTACCGCCCGAGTCGCCGTCGCCGGAGGTGTCGACGTACTGCCCGACAACTGACGGGGGGCTTCCCCTTCCGGTGCGAGGACCGCTGCTGTTGCTGCTGACGCTTCCCGGAGGGGAATACTCCGCCGCCGGCCGAAGGTCTTGATGTTCTTGGTCAGGGACATCGCCGTCGCTAAGACCGCCGCTGTCATCGCTGCCTAGATCAGTGGTCGGGGTGACCCCCGACGCAGTTCCGGACAGCTCCTTCCCAGAGGAAGTAGTCTTCGCCGGCTTCTTTAATTCCTGTGGCAACCGGGAAGTGGCGGCGGAAGCGGCGGTGAGTGGCAGGCGGGCGGGGAGACCACGCAATCTTTCAGATCCGGATCGAGGGAGGCTTACAGACGAAAGGAATACACTATGTACGAGAAGCTGTCCCAACATTCACGTCTAATGCTGGATGGGAAAACAATTGTTTGGAGCTCTTGGGATGCAACCGAAAAAAGGGAGCAATTCTTCTCCGAAGCCGGCAGAAGTATTTGTAGCACCGAGGTGCGACAACAGGAAGTCTTGCCGGCATTCAAGAGAATGTCTGGCAGCTACGGGTGTTTGGTCCTTGGCGTAGTGTGCATCGACTGTCATCATCGTCATCGGATAGCTGGGTGTGCTCCGGCATGGTCCTCGCAACGGTAGGACAGATGGCACAACGGGTGGTAAAGGCCACAACAAAAACGAAAACAAACTAAATAAACACAACCAAACCATTCAACTCTTCACTCTCGTTCCGGATAGTACACCATTGGAGGGAACAGAAACTATTTACCATTTATCTCTCCCTCTACAGTCGTTCCATGACAGGGGGAAGTGGGGTAGGGTAGGGTGAGGGGTGACACGAAGATCCGACCGGAGGGCAATGAGGTAGGAGAAGGCGTGTTTGTGAGAAAAATCACCCCGTACTGACAATTTCTCCTTCACTACTCCCTCACCGTCCTGGAAGACAAACCAGAGCAAGAACAAGACGGTGGACATGGCCGCCACGAAGAAGGCAGGGGCCGTGAATTGCGTCAGCAAGAGGAAGCGCCCCAGCAGCGGGATCTCCGTCGAGCCCAGGAGGTAGCTGAAGAACCCACCTAGAATCGGCATGACGGTAAACCCGGCGTACTGCTGAGATCTGAGAGGAGGGGCGAACAAAGTAAAGGGATGTGCGTGTGTCGAGGCAGACGGCATCGAGAGGACAAGGAAGGAGCGTCCATGACGGCGACAGTAGTCAGAAACAAGGCGCATCGCGATGGGACAGCGTTGGTGGCAGCAAGGAGCGCGTGAACGGGTAGGTGAAGGAGGAGGAGCTGGCAGCGGCGGGTCTTGGTAGATAGCGGCATGGATCGATAGCGCATCACAGCGTTTCAGCTCACACTTACGTTTGGCACAAGTCAGGGTGACGCTACTCTGAGCAGAGGGTGCAGCGTTTGCTCAACTTTGCGACGTTCGTGTTCGAGTAGTTGGGGGCATAGGGTGGTGAGGGGGTGGTGGTAAGTCAGAAGGGTTTGGACCATTTCAAAAAGCAGCGAGGTACACAAGAAAGCAAGCACGGCTAAATGGCAATTGACGTTTTTCCCCCCCCCCCCCTCTCTAGAGGACGCGTGGTCAATGGTCTAACTGTCAAGTCATGCAAAACATGAGCACGCCCCCCCCCGCCCAATCATGTGCAGCGGCTTGTCTACTTTGGCTACTACTGGTGCCATTGGTCTGGCACCACCGCGGCAGTTAACGGTCGCAGGGCTGTCAAGCGACATTCTCACCTGGTATAGGCGAGGAGGTAGGTTCGCTGCTCCTTGGTGGTCTTGTCAGCCACGTACGCCCGCGTCACTTTCAACGTTCCGCTTCCCATGCCTGGCCTCAGGTGTGCGAGTCGGTTGATTGTGACAAGGCACGCAGCACAATAACAGCAGCGGCTGCGGTTGTGGAGTTCCTGATTACGGGGTGGGTACGTTGGGGTGTGACCAAGGGGGGTCCCCCCCCCCAATCAATTCCAAACAAACTGGAAATTATCAGCCGATCCAGTTTGGAAAATGGGCCTATTTCCAACGCGGCAGTTGGGATCCTAGGAAATACTCGGCGATTTGGAATTCGGGCGTTTGGAATTGGCCAAATCCCTCCGCGTAAGGACCCCCCCCCCAATAAAAATCCTGAAATAATCACGACGTAAGACTCGGCCTTACGGCCAGCGGAAATCGAGCGGAAATCGACCTCCCCGTCACCGCACGGCAGAACATCGACTGGCCTCGGAACGTCTCAGAATCTCCCAACACCGTATCCATGGCATCTTTCCTATCCATGGCTGCCGACTGCGGACCGACCGCGGAGGAACATGTCAGAAACAGGCCAGACCCCTTCGGTACCGGCACGGGAAGATACCAGGCACGGGAAGATACCCGCGGCAAGCCCGGCAAGCACAGCGAAGTAACGGCATGCCACAAATAATTGCGTGACACACAACGGACAACAAAACCAACGGGCGCGCATACAGAACAAAAAGATGCGCATACATATAGCAACACACACACACACACACACCCGCCACACACACAAAAAAACACCGACCACCACACACTAGTGCACACCGACGTGAGGGCAGCAGCAGCAGGTCGAGGCAGTTTACCACCCAACTACTACTACGTGATGTTAAAAGGTATTCATATGCACTACTGTACATATGTATGTATATATATGTAGTCTATATAAATAATGTATATATTTTTTGTCTTCACTTCAAATCAGCGCTCACAGCACTATATAGACTAACTACTGTTTACTCCAAAACCCATGGTCACACAGAAGAGCCCCTCTCTACCCTCCCCTCCTGCGGTACTTTGCCTTTGTTTTTAATGCGAGAAGAGTTCAGCACTCTCTTCCCTCTGTGTAGACACGAACTAGCTAGCGCTATCCATTAGGCCAGGAGCGGAAGCGAGAGAAAAACTCACTTTGCAAGAAAAGCTCGCTTACGCCGGGATTCGAACCCCTGACCTGACCTCTAGAAGGTTTCGAGGATACCAACTAGACCACCGGGGCGACCGGTCACCATTGCGTACGTATGAATCGGCGGCGGCCAGATCCGTACAACCTTTTGTTGCAGCTCGGAGTTTGGAATCTCGAGCCGTATATGAAAATCCTACTCTTCTGGGGGGGGGGGTCGGTTACTGGTTCATCCATCCAAAAAAAAATATGCACCCACTCCTTTTTTACAGACGGAAATCCTTTGTGAGGAACGAGCGTCACAAAAATGTATGCGTTTCTTCCACCTGTCGCTCTACTACAGGCAGGCGCAGTGTTCTGCCCCTCCAACTAGCAACTACATGAAACCGGCTAAAATCCCTAACGCTAACCATAACCCCAAATCACCCCAATGGGTGCTAGGTTGGCGCTGGGTTGTTCAGTTCTAGGTTGGTGTGCCTGCATTGGGGCAAGGTTGGCGCTGGGTGGCTCGGTTCTAGGTTGGTGTGCCTGCATTGGGGCTACGTTGGCGCTGGGTGGCTCGGTTCTAGGTTGGTGTGCCTGCATTGGGGCTACGTTGGCGGTGGGTGGCTCCGTTCTAGGTTGGTGTGCCGGCATTGGGGCTACGTTGGCGCTGGGTGGCTCAGTGCTAGGTTGGTGTGCCTGCATTGGCGCTAGGTTGGTATTGATGGGAAAATCTCTAGGTTATTGCGTGCATAGGTGCTAGGTTGGTGTTGACGTGGGAAGGTGCTACATAGGTTGTGTAGGCCTAGGTCGCTCTTGGTTGGGTGGTTCCGTCGGTAATAGAAAGGTGTGGGTGCATGGCTTATTTGCGTCCCATGGGTGCGTCGAATAGTTTTCATCCACCCATACGTGGTAATCCTTTGCTGGCATTTCTGAGCCAGGGAAGTGAAGAGCCGGATAAACATTAGCATTTTATGTCCCACGAGAGGGCTCGCCGATTCAAATTTTGGAAGCACGGCTACCCACCACCCGATTTTTTCGGGCGCTTAATCCAGTTTGGTCAAGGCGTTTATTGTATAGGCCAGAGTATTAGTACAGGGAATAGTAACGTCTATATGTTTCTCATTGTATAGGCTTGAGTATAAAAACCATACACTACGACGTGTGTATGGGATTAGGTATGTGTGCCAAAACGAATCCTACATCATAGATTATCATATGCCATACGTTTTACTAACCACGCAGTCTAAATCCCGCAAGGGGTGTACAAGTTTACAAATACCTAAACTAATTCCTATACAATAAACAATATATACGTTATACTATACCAACACTAAATCCTAGTTGAGCACCATACACTATCTCCAGACGTTGGGAACGTAGAACTAGAAAAGGAGATCACTGAGGACGAGGTTGAGGCGTGTGTGAACAAGCTGCAGTGCCACAAAGCAGCAGCGGCGGATGGGATAGTCAACGAGTTCATGAAGTTTGGGGGGAAGGGGATGATCCAGCTGATGGTACTGCTGTACAACTGGGTGTGGAAAAAAGAGTATGCGCCAAGTAGACGGAGGGAAGAAGTGGTTGTGAACTTGTTTAAGAAAGGAGACAAGACTGACCCAGGAAAATACAGGGGGTATCACACTGTTGAACACAGTAGGAAAAGTGTTCTGTAAGCTGCTGAACGATAGGATGGGGAGAGCATTGGAGAAGGAACGTAGCATTAGTGAGGACCAGGCAGGTTTCCGACAGAAAGAGGGGGTGCGTAGACCACGCATTCACGGTAGGGAGAATCATCCAAGGTAGAAAGAGGGCGGGAAAGCCGACATGCTGCTTCTTCCTGGACGTGAAAAAGGCATACGATACCGTACGGAGAAATGGGCTGTGGAAACAGTTGTCCAAGTACGGGATCAAGGGG